GCTGGAAAAAGCAATACCATCTAGCTACATCGAGCTATTTCCGCTTCTCCGGAGTATTGTTTGATCAGCAATGTCCGTGATAAAATTACGATCATCTTGCTACATACTACTTATATTACTGAAGGCATACATTCAGTCCAGACAGAAAAATCAGGTAAAACCAAAAGACCTCAGAAACACAAGAGTAGACCATACTCGGAGGGTCTGGTTGGAATGATGAGTCATAGATGACATTTCATTGGGCACGTTAGGACCTGGCAACTAAACGAGCACCACCGGTTCGCACATATTGTGGCTACAACAGGGCTCAAAACTGATTTGGATTTCGGCTTTGATCTCACCGACTAATAAACCAGTAGTGATCAATATTGGCATGACACCGCTGAACAGCTATGGATAAATAAACGGAGAAAACAGAATGGAAACATTCGCGAACGAACAGGTACATAATGAACTCCAAAAGGACGATCAACTGAGTTCGCTTTTCAGTATTCATCAACCAAAAACAGGAGTCTTATTGGTTATTGAGGGTAAACGAAGCCTCGTTCTCGCAAAACAGACTACTCTTTCATGGAGCGCGTCCACTGGGGAATTTTCACTACCGGTCTTTTAACGACAAGCGCTTTTACTGCAGTGACAGGACTAACATCCTGTATTTGAGCCCAAAGCGACTGTTACACATTGCTCCGCTGTCTTGCAAGTGAAGCTTTGGCTAGCCGATTTCACAAAAAAATTCGCTTACGTTTGGGCAACCTGACAGTATTCCGACGAGGAACAGAACGCGAGACGATCATTATATCATCGGTTGCTTTACACAGTCTGAACCCGGACAAGTGCGAAATACAATAATCGACAACCGGTTGCGGTTCCGTATGGAAAACCAAAGGAAGTGAGCAAAGTGATCACTTAGCCATAGGCTCGACAGCTAGTGTCCTAAAAAGAATTTCGGTTTCGCTCGATTCAAAGATTCAGTCTGGTTAGTCTTAACGACGTATTAAGGGAACTAATTAAAAGAGAATACGGGTAAAATACCTGACAAAATTGAGAGCGAAAGTGCACACAACCGTCACCGGCCCGTGTTATTCACGGAAATCACCAAATGTCCTTAACCATTGTGCAGCAGGATTGAGCACGCCACATCCAGACAGATTAGACGAATCCCTCTCAGTCCCTTTCAATAGTCAACGATTTCGAAAATTTTTTCCAGAATAAGAACTGATCATCACTTTAATTTTACAAGCGATACTCATTTCGCAGAATGTTGTCTACCAAAAAAGTATATAGAAGCACGTCCGTGAAGATCAACCGCCTGAGTCGGAATTCGGACTAGCTTACATCACAAACCAAGCATAATTTCATCATCATCATCACTGTACAGTGTAATACAGTAAAGCGAACTTCACTAATAGCTACCAAACTCATATTGCATAAAAGGTAAGTGAGAATGTTTAGGGAGGATTGGGATTGAACTTACCTTTAGAGACGGGAAAAGAAAGCGAACGTCTATGGTCAACATACAGAGTGCACAGTTCAACTGTGCATACATACTATTCCAAGCATTCTGCTCTGATAAGAAGTGAGAGCATGATCGCCATTGCTGTTGGTTCGCAGCCATGACCTTCAGTGTCTCCAACCATGCGATCGCGGAATTTTTCGGACCCCAACTCGGAAGACGAGAGACATCTACTCTATCTAATCACTCTGTGCATTTCTTCATGCCTTGTCTCCACGTCATCTGCTGGCCTCCACGTGACTTTCTCCAGCCTGTAACAGCCACTGCGAATAAGGCGCGACGCAGTAGACGACCGTCGGACATAAGCCAAATATGTCCTAGCCAGCGGAGTCTATTGAGCTGGGTTGGATGCGATTGCGACTTCCTGTTTGATGCATTCCCAAACACCCGACGACTCACATCTAGGTTACTAATCCGCTTAATCCATCCCACTTTGGCCAGACTGTCGAAAACCACTAAGCGACGGATGTCTTCTACTAAACTGACCCCGTTACATCACTGAATATGCGCAGCATGTGAAATGATGATCATTACCTGCGTAAGCAAAACGATTAACTATAGCTGACTAGCCCGAGATGTATGCGGGGATTTCCAAAACCGATTTTCCAGAGGAAAGTGTTTGCCGCGTAATGCATCGAAGACTTTTGTGTTTTTGGTGAAGCGAATCTGGTTTACTCAGTGGAACAACTGAAAAATCAAATTTGAATCGGTTTTCTATACGGGATTATCAGTTTCAGTGTTTTCAGTTTTCACAACCATTACCCATTCATTTTCATGTACCAGTTTTAGTTGCTGTCTTTTGGTCGCCTGTTTGGATAAAAGAGTAGAATGAAGATTGGAATGTTAAGAGCCGAGTCAAGGTGAAGATAGAGAATTCATATAGATTGAGGTTGCAAGAAACATGAGTAGATGCACGAGCACCGCTGTTTGCGACACCCAGATATATCACTAAGTGTCTCTAACCACCGGTTACCATGATCTTAGGGTCCCCAGCCTCCTGGTTAGGATTTTTATACCCTCATGCCAAGTCTTAGTTCGATCGCCCTTGTTCTTTTTCCAAACGCTAGCTGCCTCAATAGACATCGCGTACCGTGGCAACCTATTTGATGACGTGCAACATACCCCAAACAGTGTAATCTGTGGAGGTCGACCACTTGTTCCAGTGGACGAATGCGATTACCTAAGAATCTGCACCTAACCGCAGTATTCCTTGTCCGGTTCTCCCACTAGAATCATGCAATTCGGCGTAGACAATGGTGTTTGAGAACCAAAAACCTATTTTTATTCTGTTCGCGTATTGGCCAAGTATCTGCACTGTAGAGTAGCACTGGCCGAACTGCTGCAGCATACACTCGACCCTCTACGGACAGCCGGATGTCGCGACGGTGCCACAGGTGTCTCTAGTTGGCAAATGCCAAGAGAGCCTTCTGTATGCATGCCAATCATCGGTATTGCATCGGTCGACCACCTTCCACTGACAGTAGCATTCCTTGATAGCTGACCATCCATCCGAAGGGACAAAATGTGGACTCCGAAAAAATCCACGTGTGGGTAACATGACCTCAATAAACGGGGTCATGTGACCTGAAATTACGCGAGTAACGATGAAAATAACTAGTATCTGGTACGAAGAATGAAAAATTGTTCCGAGCTGCATACGAAGACTCTTATCTAACAACCGCCCTGATCTTGAAATTATTTTTCGCTTTTCAGCAACTGGAATGTTAATTTGACACATTTTAATGCGTAAGCAATGCGTGCACAATAACCGAGCATTCAGGTGGCCATTGATTTTGAAAATGCACCGATCTATAAGAGATCAGCAAAGGCAACAACCGGTGGTCTACGAAACAGGTGCAACCACTGAAGACATGATAAACCAAGTCCATAGATCAAATCACGTGGTTTCTATCCACAAAACTCCTTTGAATCAAAAAATTCCTATCGATCGAGTTCTGCACGACTGCTGTGGAATCAAGTTTATCAAAATCCACTCGGGATGGAAGAACTGTGCGAATTATGGGTATCAAGTCGTAATAAACGGTAGTATAAAGCCTATTCCTTTCTCACCTACAGCTATTATCCCTGCGTCACAGATATAACGAAGAAGAAAAGTTTTGAAATGTTCCAAAATGATATTCAGATTTTACGAGTCGAGAAACTAAAATTATATTTCAAAATAAACAGCGCATTTACTCGTAACTAGTCAAACCAGCTACGTCATTTTATTGGGGGTGCCAAGCGTATAGGTGTGAATATAAGACATCAGTTTTGAAAATGTCCCATTACTCTGGGTTTTACGACTATGAACATTCAAGGAGATTGTCGTGGTAACATGGCTCATGTCCCATAATTACGGTCTGTAGTGGAATTGTGTCATATCATTGGCATCCAAATCTGCACATTAAACATGCTATAAATCCATGTTTAACGTGACGCCGAGCTTCGATTTGCTCATGTCGAAGTTGGCTGACAATAGATAAATTTGTAGTATCACTTAACTGAACTACCCTTTGAGGTGCTAACACAGTGGTTTAGTCGCTGTCACCGGCGCGCTTTGGACCCTGTGGTCCAAGGTCCGAGCCCCGCCACCGCCACCCAACTTTGGTTGTAGGCAGCTTTGCTGTCGTCTGGTTCAATTACTACGCCTAACTTAGCGGGGCCTTATGTGATTCGCCACTCCAAGTCCCGGGGCTTAGATTGCCGGTTGCCATCACTGAATAGCAGGTCTTCTTGACTACTGGATCCATTTCGTCCGTTGTTCATCACACATTAGTGTGCAATAAAAAAGGTGTTTTTTGAAGTGATCAAGTTATTATTGCTTACTTTGGGCTAGCTATCGATTTTCAGTACCACTGGTTTCACAAAACCGAGATCCATTGATCATCAATTACATATCAATGGGAATGGTGAGTGATCATTTCCCGAGGCAGAGACTAACTTTATTTAACTAACTACCTTGCTTACCAGTCTCTAGAACCCTTCTCAATGCTTTTAGTGAGTTACTTCGATAACAGTATCCGACTTGGTACAACTTTGGTCAAAAGTGAACACATCTCGGTGGGATCGAACCACCGAGAGTTCGGTTAAAAATTGAGCGCATCTACTGATCACGCCACAGAAGCATACATGTACGCGGTTTGCGTGTGACATTAAGTTCAACTCTTCGAGGTATCTCTATGGAAATCAAGCAATCTAACCGACGTCGCATTCCACAGGAATCACTAGGTTACAGGGAAAGATTCTTTGATTTATGGCACTAACATAAAAGTTCCTGGGCAGATAGTTGCACTCAGTGTAAATAAAAGATATTTGATAAACCATGTTCCTTTTTCTTTGTTTTCAGTATACAACTCAATTGCTACATGAGTCTTCTGGTTTGAATGCTACATTTAGGACTAATTGAAGAAATGGGAAACTCGAAACAAACTAACCTTGCTCATTTTTCTGTTGGACTAGATATCAAACAGAATTGACCAGTGAACTGCTAGATGACGCGTTCCGTGCGCACATCTCCCGGGTCCTCCTCTCTACTGGTCCTGGTTTTCCCCGAGGATCGACAAACACCCAACCCGGTGCGCGACATAGATCGATCTGGAGGACATCGTGTGGTAGCCAAACTGAATGCGTAATCTCCATCGAATGCAACAAACGGATGCGTGAATGGTAAAGTAATCGCATAGAACAAGAACGGGAATGGGGTGAGTAGAACCGCCCACACCGATATGGAATGAGTGAGAGCGATCAGACCATAGGCGTAGCAAAACATGCTCACCAACAAGGTGGGCAGATAGCGTCCGGCATTGGTGATTAGGGCACGACAGAGCATGCCCGGGTTGCACAAGGGGAGTAGAGTACCATCGGCCGGTTGCACACAATAGTCGAACAGAACGGGGAATCGATAGACCGAATGAATTAAGGCGAGCAGAAGAAGAACATACGGGAAGGAGAAGTAGAGCAGACCGCCAAAGACACAGATGAGCACGCACAGGATAGGATATGTGTACAGGGCGTGATAAGTGACTCGTTGCCATGCCTTTTCTCGATAGACACAACAAAGAACGGCTGAGTACACTAGAAGACAAAATAAAGCGCTCAAACCGTAGTAGGTTAGAGGAAGTGAGATGAACGGGAAAACCACTTCGTAAGAACAACCTGGTGCAGCGACTAGAACCGCGTAGAATTCGTCTAAACTTTGTGGAATACACGAATACACATTGACTGAACCCAACGGAGAGAATATGAGCAGGGAAATGAGGGCCGTGATCACATGGATTAGCAGACAGGTAAGGGGCAGGATGAATGCTCGATGAACACAACGACTGGAACGCATCGTCTCGGGTAACGAAGATACCGCTGAACTGGTAACAGACTCATGGTTAGCGGACCCGGATTTAGACAGAGGTCGGATGCTGCGACGTGCGACCGGAACAGTTGAACCAGTGCGACCGTTGGATGGCAACAAGAAGAACAGTATAACAGGCAATAGAGCGATAAAACTCAGATATAACCAGCCATGAAAATCCGGTGACGATAAGCATGGTTCGCACTGACTGAGGGGACTTTCCGGTTTATCTGTGACTCGTGTGCCCCAGGAACACGCACTGCATTCAGTACGGTTGCTGATACGACCACAAAACGTCCCCAAACATCTTTGTAGCGAACCCAGATCCATTTTCACCAGGTTAAATCCACCGCAGGTGAAGTTTGGTTCATGAGATCGAGGCAATCATGGAGGATGAGACATCAGAAAACAACTGGAAAAGAACAAACACAACATGAGAAAAAATGATGCCGTAAGGTTCAGCAATAACAAATTTGTAACTATATACATAATATAGATATATATTATATATTTTATATTGTTCTTGGGATTGATGGATAATTAGTTCATTTCCTACCGGAAATCTGATGAAAGACACTGCGCCGTTTCAAAGGCAGAACATCGACTTCAAAAGGCCACTCCAATCAGAATCTCGCAATCGATATATCTTGACGCGAGTACTCCACTGGCCATCCGGTGCCTTATTAATTTGTTCTCGACTTTTTGTTTTCACCTTACATCCAGTCTGAGTGATTCGTCCTTCACTTCTGAGGAACTGAAAAACTTTATTCACAATAACCGCATTGCCACCAGCAGAACAACGGTCTACAATCCTGATTTGAAACAGGTAAATGGAGAGACCAAACGGAACACTTTGGACGATCAGCGTTCTCTCACCCTAATCCTATGGTGTCCTCGGTGGGAAACTGCTCTTCAGAAGCCCTGTACTCTACCTGATCCATATGTACAACTATAAATGTTCGCTTATCTCCGCAAATCAGTGGAAGCGGTTTTTATAATTACTTCAATCTACGGCGGCTAACTCCTTAGAGAGGATAAGCCTGCTTCATGGGTATTGCGAATTGCAGCTTTTCACGTCCGGCAACAAAATCTGTGCAGATTTTGAGCCTGACTGACTTCGATTGCCATCTACGGAGCGAAGACCGCGGTGTTCTGCACCCTTGTGTACCGCGTGCAGGGAGATGGTGTTAGGACAGCTTTGGTTAGGTTCTTGTCTGGTTGGCGCAGTGTCTAAACCATGGCAGTCGTCGACGCTGCATGGGCGTGTGTAGCCGTATGAGATAAGAACACCGATTTCTGACCACTTCAGTTGGGAGCTGATCCCTCCATCTGACGCACAGAATGATTCTTAGGCATCAGCTATAGAACACTTCTAGTCGTCGACAGTCATCGACTCTAAATGGCCAGGACTAGCGGCCGCAGAGCAATCGAGAACACATTGCTGCGGAGAAAAATCGTAGTTGTCTTGAGGCTGATTTCGTTTCTATGCCATAAGGACTTCCTCAGCTGTGGAAATGACGGTGGCGCACCAAAGGAGATAACCATCCGCATTTTCAAGGCTCGAGCATCGTACGCAGGACTTACACACCTGTGGCAGCGACGCGACCTTTCACTGAAGTTGAAAAGTCGCGTATGCTGGACCGCTGTACGATCAGTTCTGCTTTACGGTTGATACCTTGAATTTGCGGTTAGAAGACATCCGTCGCTTAGTGGTTTTCGACAGTCTGGCCAAAGTGGGATGGATTAAGCGGATTAGTAACCTAGATGTGAGTCGTCGGGTGTTTGGGAATGCATCAAACAGGAAGTCGCAATCGCATCCAACCCAGCTCAATAGACTCCGCTGGCTAGGACATATTTGGCTTATGTCCGACGGTCGTCTACTGCGTCGCGCCTTATTCGCAGTGGCTGTTACAGGCTGGAGAAAGTCACGTGGAGGCCAGCAGATGACGTGGAGACAAGGCATGAAGAAATGCACAGAGTGATTAGATAGAGTAGATGTCTCTCGTCTTCCGAGTTGGGGTCCGAAAAATTCCGCGATCGCATGGTTGGAGACACTGAAGGTCATGGCTGCGAACCAACAGCAATGGCGATCATGCTCTCACTTCTTATCAGAGCAGAATGCTTGGAATAGTATGTATGCACAGTTGAACTGTGCACTCTGTATGTTGACCATAGACGTTCGCTTTCTTTTCCCGTCTCTAAAGGTAAGTTCAATCCCTATCCTCCCTAATACAGTATGAGTTTGGTAGCTATTAGTGAAGTTCGCTTTACTGTATTACACTGTACAATGATGATGATGATGATGAATGCCCTTTTAGTAGCATCGGTGCTCAGTTACACCTCATCTTTAGTTCAGTTGTCGGGTAATGAGGTTGAGCCCAATTATTTAAGGTTTTCGATGGATTCGACCGGCTCATCGTTTAGTTGTTCTTGCGGGATGATTTGGGAGAGTCGCAAAGATTTGGATTTTGGATGTGTTCACCCCTAAACCGATTTCGGAGGCTGATTCGACTGATACAATCAACGATTTCTCTGAGGTCGGACCTCAAAAAAGACGACGATGTCACCAGCGAATTCTAATTTAATGAGCCAGAAGTAAGGAGAAGTCTAAACTCCTTGGTATCCTTCAATGGAATGAACCATTATCCAGTTGACGGTAAAGTTGAACGGCATTGGGAACAACGGGCACCCCTAGATCTCAACTCGAACGGGAGTGACTCTTAGCACTGGATGCGGATTAGAATCCTATCGTTGGAGTACGAGGACCTCATGAGGTTGACAATTTAGACGAACACACTATCGGCAAGAATTATGTTCCAGAGGGATTTGTGATCTACTGATGAGGGTTTTTGAAAATTGCAGCAATACTCTAGGTGAATATTTACTGTCAACGCAACCCACAAAGGGGCGAGATCCCTTCTTTTTGGGGCAGGTGCGCGTGCGTTTTATTTCTGCAAGTCAGTTCAGCAAAAGTCAGACAAAAACCTTAGCTGCCACGTCACACAGCAACCGATCCTTCTATTTAAGGAAAGGGAATAAAAACGATGTCCAGTCTGCAAGGCAAGTTTCAGTTTCTGAACTTGCAGATAGTAAGCTATGGTGATTGAATAATCCAAGGTAGGTCTTAAAGAGTCATCCAACAAGATTAACAAAAACGACCGTACTGATTGACGAAGTGGAACCGATCGAATGAAACTCAAAATACGCTCATATTCATTCCCCAAAATTAGGGGGTCGTCTCTGAGTTAGTACGCTCATTGAACAACGAATCTGAACCTTTTTTCCTCTCAATCTAAAGGATATCTTTCTTTGGTTGTTTGCACTTGAATAAGTGCAAATCGGTGAAAAGGGTTCTGTCGCAGCAAAACTTTGGATGCGAAACAAATGCAAATGCTTGGCAATACCTTACAAAACGGGGTTCGTATTATATCCGCTACCGCATACGTTGACTTCGTAAAGGTAAGAACCATTATAACTTAATTAATCTTCAAGCACTTTTTGGGTATGCCGTCACGAGTAACGTATCCCACTAAAGGAATGTGAATAATCTACACATTTATTTTTAATGAAAGATGATGATACTTGTGAGTTGTTTCGATTTAGTTACGGAGATGTTCTTATATAAACCAGGTGGCATAGCTTCTGATCAACCTTGATAACTCTTTCAGATGTATTCCGTTGTTGAATTCAGCGACCACAGTGTGGCTACGGTGTATCGAAATTGGTTTCTATCGGATAACTAAGTGTGTTGGCCCAAGCCGGGCTCGCTTTCCACCCTGACTAGGTAGAAGCTTCTGAAGACCGGAGGGAACTTGCGATTAACTGCATAGATTCATAGTTCATATTTCAGATAACTTCGGACAAGCTCTTCGTTACGAAGAGATGCTTTTGAAAGATTTAGATATCCCATCATCCGATGCAACAGCACCAGTAAAAACGGTGTAGAAACGCAAAATGTATGTCTTACAATTACAGTTAAATAGCATTTTTCAGAGTACCCGTGGCGCTACTCCATTTTGAGTTGGCTGCACCTGTACAGAAAAAAATCAACGCAGCAGTACTCCAAGGATGTGGCACATATCAACCCTCCGGTAAAGCCGGTAGAAACAATTCCGATTCCAAGCACTAGTTTCCGGTACTTCACATAACTTACTAACAATCTTCAAATCGTCATTGA